GATTAGCCTCCCCCCCTTCTTGGAAAATGTTTTTCCCTGCTTTAATCTCTTATCCTCCAAACCCTTGGGAAAGGAAGGAGGAAATCAGGAGGCAAAGATTCCTGACAGACTGAAAAAGGAAAATAGTCTCAGTTCTGACTCTTTTAAATTAGATCTCATTTCTGTAACCACAGTGTTGTTGGTGTAGACAAGCTCTGCTGGAAATTTGAACGGGCCGCCCTGGAGCATTTTTGCTATTGTCATCTCAGTGACAGTAGCAGAAAGCTTCCCTTCTTCACTCATTTTATAGTCAATTAAAAAACTCCTCTCATGTGGTGTCCTTGGAGCGAACCACTAAAATGCCTTAGGCACAATGTTCCTTTGTGTTTGTGCTGCTCTCAGCTTCCTTCGCTGTGTTTTGATTACTTACTACTGTTAACAGCTGCTTTCCTTCTTGCTGTGTTAGCTTTACTTAGTCTTGCTTTTAACCACTGAAATGGGTGAGGCTTTAAAATAAGTACCGACTCTGCAGGAACATCCCCCACCCCATACACATACACACCTTTGGAATGCAGAGGAAAAATAGAGGTATGAAAAAAATAGATGTTTTCCTGATTTGCATAATGTGTTTAATTTGGTAGGATGTAGCAATAACTACTACATAGAACACGTATGCCCTGATCCCAAACATCTCACTTTAAAAGATAGCTTTTACTAGTTCAGTATTAGTGAGCTTTTAGTTTGACATTGTTAGATTTGGTCTTGCTGATTTCACTAAGGTCTAGTATTAACTAAGGATTAAGTCCAATATAGGTATATTCTACATCTTGGCTTTTTTGCAGGTATAATACCACTTAACACTACCAGTGAAAAGACTTGGTATATATGTTCTCCCTTTTCTTTCTTAATTGGTTTTCTGTAGCAGGAAAGATTGGAAGAAGCAGTAAACGTACCCAGGGGGTTAGAAACAAAAAATGCTGGCATCTAATCCTTCAGTCCCAGGCATGTAGCCGGGGGGGCTTGAAATTCTCATGGTGGTTCGCGAAAAGGCCTTACTGGTGCATTCTTTAAACTGTTATGTTTATTCATATCATGATCTGATCACCATACTCAATATATCCCATATGCATGGGGGTATTGGGGTAACGATACAAAAGGTTTGCTAGGGTAGATCCTCTTTCACTCAGACTCAGCCCCCCCCCCCGAAATAAACTCAGCCCCCCCCCCCCCCCAAATCGAAATCCTGGCTACGGGCCTGTTCAGTTCCATGCATGAGATACTTCTACAACTTACCTAGAAGCACCCTTATTTTCGGTTAACAAGCTAGAATTGAATGAGAAATTTCACCAAAGAGGAAGTACCTTACTTGAGCAAAACTGTAAATCGTGGTTGTAAATTGTGCCTGCGAGAGAACAACTCTAGTAAATGAGATATACTCTGTTTTGAAATCATAATAATTTTCTGTTACCCATATATATTTCTGAATCTTCCCAGAAAGTGACTATAGATGACTCCCTTTCATGCTTGCATCTTGGAGTCATGATCTTTGAAAGGGCCACAAAGAATGTTATATTTTTCTTTTAGGCTTACACTTTTTTTGGTAAAATCTTCATATACTGTATATAGTTGTGTGTAAATCAAGCTTGTGTACAAGTCCAGATTTGGAGGCCAAAATTAGGGATTTTGATATAACTTGTGGATAAGTTGAAGCTCATTCCATAGAAAGCTAAGAGTGGCCCTAAGAGGGTGTTCACCCCTGGCTGCAGCCTCTGTCATTTTCCCACCTACACAATCAAAAACGCCTGAAATGGCATGACAGTGGGGAGAGTAGAGGGGGCTTGTGCTTCTTTTAGGTGCTGCTAAAATGGTCTAAGCTCTCTCTAGAGAAGGGGTTCCTTTTCCTTAGAGAATTACCCTGTTCGGATAATTGACCCAGGTTATATTGCTCAGTGTTTTTGATTTAAAAGTTTAGATGTATACAGGCAGTTCCCGAGTTAGAAACAAGTCATAGTTAAGGGCGGAGGTGAGACAACAAGAAATTAGATGAATCTACCCCCAGAAAGGAAATTCAGTCTTGGAAGAGTAATGGGGAAAAAGTGTCTCCACTGAAGTTTTATCACCAATCCTTGGTTCCACAACAAACCAAATTTTTCAAAATCCAGTTATTGCAGGAACAGAAAGTGAAGTGAAATCTTCTGAACAGGGACACAGACAGCAAAACAAACACCACAGAGGTGATATGCTATCTCATGTGTGTGTGTATATGTGTGTATGTGTATGTGTGTGTGGCTGGACTTACACTGAAAAAATGTACTTGTTCTGACTTACAAATTCAACTTGTAACTTGGAGACTTCCTGTACATGAGTGTATACAGTAAGTCACTTGGACTGTAAAAGTTTTTAGGATATATATCTAGGAGATTTGATTTCTGTCATTTTGAGCAGGCAAGGCTAATGTTTCAAAGTGGGGTGACTGTGACGGTTCATCTTAAGGAGTTAGCAGCAAATTTGAGTTTGCCCAAAGGAACAAATTACTGTTGTGGGAGCAGCAGAATTAGGGGATGGGCCAACATAATATTAAAGTGCTCTAAGTAAAATATCAATGTTGTGGCTCTGATGGATTTTAAAGACCAAAAAATCTAACTGGAGATTAAGTAATTGCTGTTTAGGTGTCTCAGTATGTGTTTCTATACCACACTTCATCACAACCCTACCAGGTCTCTAACAGATGCTCTTCCTGAAGGTCCTAGATTCATTTTTATGTAGGTCAGTTGTTTCTTTTTTTTTTAAAGGACCTCATTCATTACTTTCAAACTACAGTGGACATTTTTCCTCTCTGTCTGCCATTTCCCACAGTGCAAGTTGGGTGAGTAGGCCAAGGATAACATTATACGTGAATGGGGTCTCAGTATTCTTTATGAGGAACTAAGGGAGGGCTCTCTTCGCTTATTTAAAAGCACACAGCAATATTTTACTTTCTGCTTTTCAAATAAAATTCCACTAAAAATGAAACAAAGGTGGCTATATGAGCTAGTGGAGAAATAGCTTCTCTGGATCAGAAAATAGATAACTGAATACAGTTCTGGGGAGGGAAACAAGCATTTTACATATGTACATTTTTAGATAAAAGTGTGCATATATGAAAACATCTGGGATTGTCTGATTCTATGAGTTATCTATAGGATTCCAAGATCTGATTGTAACTCGGACACCCTTGGAAAGGCTGCTTGAGTATATATTTGTTGCTTTTCCTGGCTCAGCCAGTTATATTGTCTCCACTTTATAGCGTCCTTATTTTCCCATATTCAAAATGTTTTACGATGATTCAGAAAAAAGTACTAGGTCATAGCATTATAGGAAAAAAAACATCTCCTATCTACATTCCTTTCCCCCTCCCCATACTTTTGTTTTTTTCATTCTGATCATATTTTTCACATCTGTTTAAAAAAAATAAGAGCCATCGTAAAACCTAGCTTTCTCTGCACACTTCCTAGCAAACTCCCTTGCATTAAATGAGGTGATAGCCATAGAATATTGCACTCCTCTTGAGTCCACATTTTTGTGAGCTTGGGAAGAAGAATATGTACTTTTTGAAGGAAGTCCATAAAGAGCAAAGATTATAGGTGTTTTTTTTCTGATGGGAAGAAATGTAGGTGAGTTTACATATGCAAAATGTTATCCTTTAGCCTAATAGATTGTTATCCACACCACAAACATTTAATTTCCTCATCTAAAGGTAGATTAAAAGCAATCATTATCATATCACTTGCACTGCCTCGTTTGGCATAAAAGGAAACTCTATGGCTGCATGATTCCTGCATGTTGAACCTCTGTGGGAAAGGATAGTGGTTTTAAGTCTATAGCACAAGGAAATAAGTCCTAATCTTTAGCCTGAATAAAGAAGCAAGAGACTTCTCCATGAATCAGACACAAAGGTTGAACTGTATATTAAACATAGGGTGGAACTGCATATTAAGTGTATTGTGGTAGAGTTTCTTTTTTGTTTGTTTAGTTTGTAAATAAGATACTAAAACAGCCACATGAAGTGGGAAACAACTCAAAGGGGAGAGGAGTTTCTTCTGCCACTTCCTTCAAGCTTTTTTTTTTTTTTACAACTGTATAATATTCTCTGGCAGCTTGATGGGAGTGAAACAGGGAAACATTTTACCAAAAAAATGAACTGAGGGGGAAATACTAAGAAACACACACTTGTACACGCATCAGTCAGCTGCTTCAGCAGCTTCATTGAATGAAATACTTTGATTTGATTTTTTTAATGAAAGTGAGACATTTTTAAGGCCTGATCACACAGTATGTTTTATGTATATACATAGGTCAAGTATTCTTGAGCAAACCTTCACATGGATAAATGTAATGAATGAGCTGAGTGCTCAGGATATGGCTGCCAGCTTCAGTATGTCTTTCAGCTTGTTCCCAAAGAAAATAAGGAACTATTCCTATGTGTGTAACAATCACTGTGCAAACTACCCATCAAAGAGGAAACATGACCAAGGTGCAAATAACATTCTGAAAAATGCACATAGTTTCTACAGAGTTAGCATAATAGGCAGAGATTAGTAGCAAATGGTAGATTTTTTTTGCTCTTAGGGACTTCTCTTTTATTTATGAGAAAGATCGATTTTGCAAATAATGGGTTCAAAGTTTGGGGTGCATGTTAAAGGGATTTTCCATGGATTCAAAGGTTAAACAGTAGGACATCCTTCTCTTTCCTAGGTTCCTATTTTTCTTCATATGTCACTGGGAACAGCTCATAAACCTTCTTTCTTGAATGTTATCACTTTCTTTGCCATCAATATTCTTAATCTGTGAAAATGCACATGGTTAGAAAAAATAATGAGCTTGCATTGAGTACAGTTTGAGGATGTTGTTGCAAAAATTATTCAAATACCAACATGCACATGAGGTTTAGTTGGCCGTGAAGCGTTAGAGAAAACTCTGTAATGCAGGCTGTTTTTGTTGTTGATGCATATCTTTCAGCATTTTTCTTCTTTTTCCTGAAGGTTAGCAGAGCAGCCTGATAGAGGCCCTTTTCCAGACAGACGCGGATGATGCCAGAGCTATGACAGGGGCTGCAGCCTTGGCAGTGAAGGGTGGTGATCAGTTATGGAAAAGCCAAAGGAGGAAGTACCTGAGGTCAGGGAAGAGGAGGAGGAAGAGGAAGAGGCAGTGACAGCCATAGGTGCAGCCTCAGACCCAAATGAAGGACCAGATAATTCAGCACCTTCTATCAGCTACACCGGTAAGGTCTGAGAGGTGGAACAATACATCACATTCATTTTAGGAAATGCTTACCTTTTATATGTAGAATAGACTTGCTTCAGTTCAAGCTGTTGCAGGTTCCTTGTTGGGTGAATTTAGAAAACATCAATTTTTATGTCCTTTTCGTTGCAATTATTTCACCTCTTCTCATGTTTCTAAACAGTGCCTTTATGTAGAAGTCTTCTTTCAAGTTAATGTCTTTACCTATATCAGTGGTTCTCAACCTGTGGGTCGCCAAATGTTTTGACCTTCAACTTCCAGGAATCCTAACAGCTGGTAAACTGGCTGGGATTTCTGGGAGTTGTAGGCCAAAACACCTGGGAACCCACAGGTTGAGAACCACTAGTCTATATCCTACCTCATCTGCTGTTCTTGCTATGTCTGCTGAGCTCCATGCATAAATTGCTCTCCCTTTGCATTATTACCATAATCTCAGCTTCGAGTTTTCCCTTATGCCTGGTTCTTCCCAGGCCATGAATGACAGTGATCAGATGGTTCATATTCCAGTAGAAGAGGTAGACAATGCAGATTATCCATCAGCAGGACTCAATTAATTTACTGAACCTGCACAGGAATTAATGAAAAGGATCGTGTTGGTGGTCTGCCCTGATGCTTTTCCAGGATGGTGTGGTGAAGACGGAAAGAAGACAAAATTTCTCCATACTTTTGCTTTCTCCATCTTTTCATATGCTGACATAACTATGTCTAAATTTTGCACTGACAGGATTCCATCCTGTATGCTAGCCCCCCTCCCCCCAGCCTTTTGTTGTTTTTCTAGTAATTAGTACAGTTATAGTCTACTCTTTAATTGCAATAGGACCAGGGTGGAGGAACTCAAGACTAATATGTTTTGTAAAAACGGTAGCATTAGAATAGCCATATTATTCTACTATTGCTATGATTAGTGTAATATACAGTGCTGTATTTTTATAGTACACAGTACAGCTATTGAAAGTAGAATAAATTGAGATTAGGTTTGCCTACAGCAGTGGTTGACATACCTTTGGTCCTCCAGGTATTTTGTACTTCAACTCCTAGAAATCCCAGCCATCTTACAAGATGTTAGGAATTGAGGGAGCTGAAGTCCAAAACACCTGAGGGACCAAAGGTTGACAACCACTGGCCTACAGACTTGAATCTTGCCTCAAAATAGTATACAGGCAATCCCCAGATTATGAACAAAATAGGTTCTGTAGGTTTGTTCTTAAATTGAATGTGTATGTAAGTTGGAACAAGTACATTTTTAAGTGTAATTCCAGCCATATAGCTTTGGCTAGCATAGGGAAGTGTTTATTTATTTATTATTTATTTACTTTGCTTATATACCGCTGTATCTCAAGCCTGAAGGCGACTCACAGCGG